CCTCAGTCCCAAGCTGCCTGTTGTTCAACGTTTGAAAGCCATTACTTCATATATTTTGTCTGGCTGTCTAGTTGTTGAAAGAGGAAGCCGATCCCTGATACTCCATCATGGTCAGAAGCACAGGTCCTCTCCTGTGTCCTTTTGATATGCTGTCACCATCCTTGACCACTTCCTTACTTTCTGGGGCCAGGTGACGCTCCAGTCCCATCGGTGCTTCCCCTGGCTCGGCCCTGGGATCAGCCATTTCTCCAAGGAACCCTGATTCCTTTTAGTGGAGAATGATATTTAGAAGCCAATATCTGAGTAACTAGGGTGCTCAGTGCTACTGGTGTCTTGGCAAATTTTTAAAAAGAGAAATTAAAGACCCATCCATTTTATTTATAACAGGGACATAACAGGAATGAGTGGAGAAGTTCCATGTTCCTTTTTCTTGAAAAAGGTCAGGTTTAAAAAAAATTCCTTCAGCATCCTACACTGATGGAGAAGGAGGAAGACGGAAACGAATGTTCTTTCAACAAATTTCCATTGAGAACCTCTGTATGCTTGGGTCTGTTATAGTTGCTGGCTGGGTACATAACAGCTATCAAAACAGACAAAAATCCCTGTTCTGATAGTACTTACATAAATAACTATTGCTATTATTTAGGTGTCATTGCTACTATTTGGGCTTACATCTCCCAGGCAGAGAGAAGGGGGGTCAGCCATGAGAGTGTCCAAGAGCCTTGAGCTCCACCAGGGACCCAACATCAGACTATGTGGAGTGCAGAGAGGAAGGTGTGGGCTCTAGATCTTGTGACTCTGTCCCTTTCTGGTCTTGGATGCAGTGAGAACAGGACTTTTGTCAATTCAGCAAATATTCCCAGTAGATGCAAAAGCCCCATTATTTTAACAATTGGTTGTGCTGAAGCTCTAACCTCTCACTGTGTGTGCACTTTGGTAAGAATGTCATCACTCTGTGCTCATCTTCTCAATATTTCCCCTTCTGATGTGTAACCTTTGTCCGTGTCCGTGCCCTGAGCTGGCGCTTTCCTGCAGTGGGGGCCACCCCAGATTGTGGCCGCTACAGTAAGTAAAGGCCAGGGGAGGTGGATAAAAATCAATGCGTAATTGCTCCCTCTTTCTTTTAGGATGAATAATTTATGTTGACTTTGGACATATTTTGCACTGATCAGGAAAGAAAAGTCAACTCTTCTGGTGAGGTGGGTGGTGCTGTCCAAGCTTCCACTTGCCCCCGCCCCCACCCCCACCTCTGGATACCTCAAGCACCAGGGGCTGCAGCAGATGCCATGCCTTGAAGCTTTCTGGTGTCCTGAGCTAGAAGGGATTTCTCTGCCCCCTGAGCTCCCGAGACACCATGCCTGGCCCTCAGACTACACTGACACTTTCCGACTGGAATTTGTCCTTAGTGGGGTGCATGTCTTATTTTCTAGACCAGAGATTGGCCAGCTTTTTCTGTAAAGGGCCAAATAGTAAATATTTAGGCTTTGTGAGCTATACAGACAGGACTGGCTACGTGACTGGGGGGCTCAGTGCAGAACAAAAATGCAGGGCCCTTCATTAAAGATTTTTAAAGAATTTCAAGATGGTGACAGCAGAGGACTAAACCAAGCGTGGAGTCCTTCTGAGTATGGGACCCAGTGTGACTGCGTGGGTTGCATGTCTGTGTATGTTATCTTTGTCACAGTGACTCAACTCAGCCGTTGTAGCACAAAAATAGCCATACACTCATTATGTAAACAAATGAGCATGGCTGTGAGATCCATTCACTCATCCACCCACCCACTCATCCACCCACCCACTCATCCACCCACCCACTCATCCACCCACCCACTCATCCATCCATCCATCTATCCATCCATCCATCCATCCATCCACCCATCCAACCATCCATCCATCCACCCCACCCATCTATCCATCCATCCACCCCACCCATCTGCCCACCCATCTACCCGCCCATCCATCCATCCATTCATCCATCCACCCACCCACCTACTCACCCACTCATCTATCCATCCATCCAGCCATCCTGTGGGATGGATCAGCACAATAACTGCAACAATGGACTCAAACACGTCAGTGGTTGTGAGGATGATGCAGAACCAGGCAGCGTTTCATTCTGTTGTACGTAAGGTCACCACGAGTTGGAGTTGACTCAATGGAACTTACCTACCTACCCACCCATCCACCCATCCATTTCTTTTTTTACTTTAAATTCTGTGACTGCACTAAGTAAGGTTAAGACTTCAGCTGCTAACCAGAAGGTCGGCAGTTTGAATCCACCAGGCGCTCTTTGGAAACCCTATGGAGCAGTTCTACTCTGTCCTATAGGGTCACTATGAGTTGGAGTTAGTGGGAAGACAGACAATACAAGCCATGCGTTGTATGGTCTTGTTTGGAAGGGATGACTGTTATAAAGAGAAACAAAGCCGGGAAAGTGCCTAGAAAGTGTCTGATGGGGTGTGATTAGGAGGTGCACTAAGTAAGGATTTGCAACTTGACTAAATTCTGGATCTTATTATATTTTGCAAACTTTCACAACACCCCAAACTAAGGCAAAGAAGAGGGGCCTGATGGGCTCCAGCTGGCCTCGGACACGGAGCCTCTGCACATATGTTCATTGTACACACACACACCCCACATGAGGGCGCAGGGGCACACACACCTGCCCTTAATCTCAGGTCAGCATTTTGAAGACGAGAAAAGGGAAAGATAATGGGTGAGGTGGGGAGGGGAAAAGATCTAAACAGTCGCTGGTAAAATAAACACTCAAAATCCAGGCACCGTCTGTTGATTATCAAAAGTTAGGGCTTAAATGTGACAGACCTGTCTTTAAAGACACTTCTTTTTTATACCTGATAGATTTTAAATCTCCTCATATGCATGCAAAAGCTGGACCATGAATAAAGAAGATCAAAGAAGAAATGATGCCTTTGAATTATGGTGTTGGCAAAGAATATTGAATATACCATGCACTGCCAGAAGAACAAACAAATCTGTCTTGGAAGAAGTACATCCAGAATGCTCATTAAAAGAGAGGATGGTGAGACTTCATCTTGTGTACTTTGGACATGTTATCAGGAGGGACCAGTCCCTGGAAAAGGACATCATGCTTGGTAAAGTAGAGGGTCAGCGAAAAAGAGGAAGACCCTCAGTGAGATGGATTGACACAGTGGCTGCAACAATGGGCTCGAATACAGCAATGATTGTGAGGATGGCACTGGGCAGGGTTTCATTCTGTTGTGCTTGGGGTCGCTATGAGTCGGAACCGACTTGATGGCGCCTAATGACAACAACAAGATTTTAAAACATATCAGCGTCTGTCTTTGGTAAATGGGGTTGTTTATTCAGACATATTTCTTCTGAGGGTGGTTGGCATACCTTCATTTTTAATTAAATAATCTATTTTTTAAGATAACAAAAAGAAAATGTCTTCTATTTTAAAAAAATACCCCACGGATATATTTAACTTAATTATTTTAAATACGAATGAAAAACACAGACATCAAAACCAAATGACTTAAAATAACACAACGCCAAGATGACATTGTGCAGGGATGAGATTTTCATAGTGCGCTTAAAACTGCATTTAAAAATGTGCAGCAACAGTGGGCATTTAACTACTTTCAACTGAAGGTGAGCACTCTTTCAGCCTTTCCTGTTACTCAGGAGGGCTGACGCTTGGCCTGCATCCCAAGCATTCGTGTGAGTTGCCCCTCCCCCTGCAGGTGGGACCACAATAGGGCATCCTGGGAGAACTCTCTTTGTTGTTATTTCCAGCAATGTCTTACTTTCTAGATCAGCAGTAACAGGAATGGCAACTGCTGTTCATTCAGCTGCAAACCATGGGCCAACTGTGTGCAAGGCATTGTTCATGTGCTGGAGAAACAGAGTCCCCGCCTCCATGAGGCTCACAAGTGAGTGGGAAGACAGACAATAGAAACCATGCATTGTACCATCTTGTTTGGGAGGGATGAGTGTTATGAAGACAAACAAAGCTGGAGAAGTGTCTAGAAAGTGTCTGATGGGGTGTGGTTAGGGGGTGTTGCTATCAGACACAGAGGAGCCAGGAGATGCCTCGCTCAGGAGGTGACATTTGAGCAGGGTCCTGGATGAGGGGAGGGCATGATGTTTTGGAAAGAAGGATATCACGCAATCATCATCACACTCACCATCAACCTCCTCATCATTATCATTGTCATCATCCTTATTGTCACCATAATCATCATTGTCATTGTCATCAATATCTTCATACCACTGTCATCATCATCATAACCATTGTCATCATCATCATAACCATTGTCATCATCCTTATTATCATCTTCATCATCATAATCATCATCCTTATTGTCATCATCATCATTGGCATTGTTGTCATCACCTTCCTATCTTTGTCATCGTCATCATCATCATCATTTTCATTATCACTGTCATCATCATCTTCATTGTAATCTTCATCATCTTCATTATTGTCATCATCATCGTCATCTTTTTCATCACCATCATGCTCATTATCATCATCATCATCATCAACCCTGTTGTCCTCCTCCTCATCATCATTTTCACCATCATCTTCATTATCATCATCATCATCCCTGTTGTCCTCCTCTTCATCATCATTTTCACCATCTTCATCATCATCATCATCATCATCCCTGTTGTCCTCCTCCTCCTCATTTTCACCATCATCTTCATCATCATCATCATCCCTGTTGTCCTCCTCCTCCTCATCATTTTCACCATCATCTTCATCATCATCATCATCCCTGTCCTCCTCCTCCTCATCATCATTTTCACCATCATCTTCATCATCATCATCATCCCTGTTGTCCTCCTCCTCCTCATTTTCACCATCATCTTCATTATCATTGTCATCATCATTGACATCACCATCATCCCTATTGTTGTCATTGTTATTCTCATCCTCATAATTGTCATCATCATCCCTGTTGTTGTCATTGTCCTCCTCCTCCTCATTGTCATCATATCTGCATTGTCATCACCATCATTCCTGTTGTCATTGTCCTCCTCCTCCTCCTCATCGTCATCATCATCCCCCTTGTTGTCATTGTCATCCTCCTCATTGTCAACTTCGTCATCATCATCATAATTGTCATCATCATCTCCATTGTTGTCATTGTCCTCCTCCTCATCATCATTACCCTCATTGCCATCATCATCATGCTCGTTATCATCATAGCGGATATCATGTCCTCCTACATGCCAGCACAGACGCTCAGATTGTGGATGTTACTGCTTAATCCTACAACAACCTTGTAGGCTGGATGTGCTGTAACATGCCCAGGTTTGGATGAGTGGCCTGAGGTGCAGAGAGGGGAAGAGATTTGCTCCAGGTCATCCCCTGGTGAGGAGAAGAGCTGGGCGTGGAACTTGGGTCTGATGCCAAAGCTGGGCTTTAGAACATTACTCCAGCCTGCCCAGGGTTCCTGACAGCCAGGGACAGGTCTTTCTTTTATTTGTCTTTCCCCTCTGACTTAGACCCTCAGAATTGCTTTGATGGATCTATTGGTGCTCTTCTATTGTTGTTGTTGCCCAGTATTTCGATACTGCGTCCCTGTGCTTGTCTGTCCCTTCTCTCACTTGGCAGAGCTTTCCTGTTGCCTTCTGGAGGCTTCTGTAGGGGGCAATGGGCAGCCCCTCAGGGTCCCTGCCTCAATGAGCTCACAGTCAACAGCAGAAGCAGATAAGCCTACCCATATACAGGTCAAGTGACGCTTGTTAGGGCTAGGCTCTGCAGTGGAGGCAGTTCTGGCCACCACATGACCCACTTAGCTCAGCCCTGCCTGTCCAATGAGCTTGGACATCTGTACATCGTGACTGTTCAGGATAGACACATCTCAGCAGAGGCGCTAACAGTGGCCGCTGATTGAAGTAGCTATGAATGTGGGATCCTGGGGGGACAGACCTGGTTCAAGTCTCAGATGGTGGCCTTGAGAAGTCAGAATGTCTCCAAGCCTTAGTGTACTCATCTGTGAACTGGACAGATAAGCAGGAACACGGAGCTCCCAGGGTTGCTGTGGGGATGAAAGCTGATGGAGCCTGTGAAGCTCCCAGCTCAGGCCCACTATCAGACTTGCTGCCTCTGAGCCATCATGGCTTTCAGGTCACCATTGATGAGGTCCTTGAAATGGAGCTGTTCTCTATGGGGTGGGATCAGCACAGTGGGTGAGCGTCCTGTGCCCAGCGTCCACTCCCAAGGTTGCTCTTGGCACCCCAGTTTTCCTTAAGAGACCACTCATCATTGTCTCCCAGTCCATGAGGTTCAGGGACAGCGGTCAGCTTCTGGCCAGCCACAGCACAGCATCCTCCAGCTCATGGTGACTGACAATAAGAGCCCACCTGGAGGTCCTGCTGGAGGGCCTAGAAGGCAAATGGTCTCCATCCCCTGGGGCTGCACAGGGTGGAGGCAAAGAGCTCCTGTCATCTGCCACCAGAACAGAGTTGTCCTGAGAGTGGACTCAACACAAAGGACAGCAGAGCCATGAAACGGAGAAAGATGGAGCTCTGGTGATATTGTTTGGGTACCTGGATCCAGCTATGCCTGAAGCTGGACTTAGGTTTTCTGTCGCTCTCACCCAAACACTCCTGAATAGTACCAATGTGTCGCATTCTCTTGTTGAGGCTCTGTTCAATGATCCCCTCCCTTCCCCCAAATTTAAAGCACAAACATTAACCTTGGGCCAGTTTTCCTCCTTCTTCCCTGTCAGCAGTCCTTTTCTCTGACCTGAGATCACAGATAGCCTGGGATCAGGGCCGGATTACCCAATAAACAGGGGACACCCGGGCTCACTTGTGCATACTTACTCATCCGTGGTGAACAATTTCACCTGTTTCTCACCACACCTTTTATGTAAAATTGTTCACCACAGATGAGTAAGTAAACACAAATAAGGCCATATGTACCTGGTTTAATGTAAACCAGTGTCTACCTTGCTTCCTGGTTACTCTGCTCCTGCCTGGGATAGAGACATAACAGACGTACAATTGACGCAGATTCGTGGCAGAAAAGTTCCACCTGAATTCATTAACAGAGCCTTTATTATCTCAAGCCATCTTGCGATGGTTTAAATATTTGGCATGTCTTAAAATAAGGTGAGCTCTTCCAAGGGGGGTAGTCTTGCAGCCTGAGCACAAGGCCATGACGCTTACACCAGAACAGAACAAAAGCCAACCTCCCCAAGGCCTGGTACTGCTGCTACTTGGCCATCGTGACTCCGGGTCCAACTCTGTCCTGGAGGAAAACAAGGGACCATGGGGAGCCCCTGGACAGCGGCAAGGGGGCCAGAAACACTTCTCCTGCCCCACCCAAAGGGTTCTGGGGTCACATCGGTTTGGGGAAGGCTGTGTTCTGCCCTCGCTTCTTGGGCATTCATTGTGCACATTGTTGTTGTGTGCTGTCGAGCCATGTCTGACTCACAACAACCTCGTATGACAGAGCAGAACTGCCCCATAGGATTTGCTAGGCTGTGATACTTATGGAAGCCGTTCACCAGGTCTTTCTCCCACGGAGCCACCGGGTGAGTTCGAACCGCCAACCTTTTGGTTAGCAGCCGAGCGCTTAACTGTTGCACCACCAGGGCTCCTTTATTGTGTTCGTTAGCCTCTGAGAAGATGTGCTATGAAGAAATCTATTCATCTTGGCTAATCCAGGCTCCCCCAAACTGTGAGCCCCTGAGGGCAGGCCTGGGCCTGACTTATAAAGGGCCGCACTCCTGGCGCATGGAACTGGTGAAAGGCTGCAGGTGCTGGATTAGTACCTGTCCCACATTGAAGGAACTGCTTTTCCCCATAATACCTACGGTGGGGGATGAGCTGTGTCCACTGAGAAGATATGACCAAGTCCTAACCCTTGGTACCTGTGAATGCAAACTTCTTGGAAATAGGGTCTTTGAAGGTGTCACCAGTTAGGTTAACATGAGGTCACACTGGAGTAGGGAGGGTCTTAATCCCATCCGAGTGGCATCCTTATAAAAGAGAAGAGACAGAGAGACAGGGAATAAGGCCACATGAAGACGGAGGCGGAGGTTGGCGTGATATGTCTACCAGTCAAGGAACACCAGGGATCACTGGCAGCCACGAGAAGTTAGGATAAAGGCAGGAAGAGATGCTCCCTCAGAGCCTCAGGAATCAACACAGCCGACACCCTGATCTTGGACCCCTGGCCTCCAGAACTGTGAGACAATGCATTTCTGCTCTTATAAGCCATCAGTTTGTGGTACAGGTAGTCCCTGACTCACAGTAGGACTCTGGTCCAACAACTCTATCATAAGCGTTGGTTCTGATGTAAGTCGAATACCTCATTTTCTTAAAGTTTTCATTATTATTGCCTTTGATTATCAGTATCTTTATAAATCTGGTCTTTATTTCCTATAAGTTGGAATTGACTCTGTGGCAATGGGGTTTGTCTTTGGGGGTTGGAAACATTACAGATAAATTTACAGATATGATGACATCAGCAAATTACGCACTGCAACGTTGTATGTAGTACATATTACTAACGATAAGATGGACAAAACAGAAAATGGATGGTTGGAAGTGTCGTTTGTCGAAACTCGAAGACGTCGTAAGTTGGAGACTGCCAGTACTTTGTTACAGCAGCCATGAGAAACTAATACACCTGCTTTAATTTCCTATTGTGGCTGTAACAAATGACTACAAATTTAGTGGCTTAAGTTTATTATCTTTACAGTTTGGATGTCAGAAGTCCAAAATGGGTCTCACCGTGCTAAAATTAAGGTGTTGGCAAGGCTGGTTCCTTTCTTGCCTTTTCCAGCTTCTAGCGGCCGCCAACATACCTTGGCTCATGGCCCTCTCCTCCCATCACTCCAACCTCTGCTTCTGTCATCACGTCTCCTTCTCTGACTTTTATGCCTTCCTCTTCCACATTTAAGGACCTTTGTGACTACATTGGAGTCCCTGGGTGGTGCAAACGGTGAACACACTTGGCTACCAAATGAAAGGTTGGAGGTTTGAGTCCACCCAGAGGCACCTCGGAAGAAAAGCCTGGCCACCTACTTCCAAAAAAGCAGCCGCTGAAAACCTTATGGAGCACAGTTCTACTCTGATACATGGGGTTGCCATGAGTCAGAGTCAACGCCATGGCAACTGGTGATTAGATGGGGCTCACTTAGATCATCCAGGATCATCCCCCCATCTCCAGGGCAGCTGATTAGTGAACTTCATTTGATCTGCAACTTTAATCCCCCTTTGCCATGCAACCTGAAGTATTCCAGGTTCTGGGGATTAGGACATAGACACTTTGGGGAACATTATTCTGCCCACACCCACTAAGCATGAACTCGTCCGAACTTGGGGTGGGGGATGGAGTGGGTCTGTAGGGCCCCTTCCAATTCATTCATTCACTAATGCATTCATTCATTCAAAAATATTTACTGAGCACCTACTGTGTGCCCAGAAGGAGCTCTGATAACACAATGCTTCAGTGCTCGGCTGCTAACCAAAAAGTTGATGGTTCAAACCCACCCAGTGGCTGCATGAAAGAAAGACCTGGCGATCTGCTCCCGTAAAGATTCCAGCCTAGAACACCCTATGGGGCAGTTCGGTTCTGTCACACGAAGTTGCTATGAGTTGAAAATGACTCGACTGTACCCAGCAACAACAACTATGTGTCGGCCCTGTTATGAGAGCTGGGGGTGGGGGGCTCAGAGGAAGTCCCTCCCTCACGGGGGTCTTTCAGTTAAAGAGGCCAAAGGAGACAAATGAACCCAATTTTAATGAGCTCCAGAGGACAACTACCCCAGAGGCCCACTTGGACCTGTCCTGGAAAACCCCGCGTTCCTCTCAAGTTCTGCTTCAAAGGGACAGGCGGTGGGGAGCAGTGGGTAGGGGCTGTTTTTCTGAAGCAGAGCAGCACTGTCTCGGTCAGCAGCCCACCTTGCTCTTCTGCTGACTCCTCCTTTTTCCTGACATTTGGGGAGCAGGTGCTCATGTGCCAAAAGCTGGCTTCTAAAATACTCTTGTACTCTTTTTCAGATGCAGTTCACATGCCCTTGGCTTTCAAAGTCTGAAACCGCGGAGGGAAGCAGACGCAGTGGGACGGCGCAGGCTGGGGGTCCCGATGTTCCAGGGGCCTGACTTCTCGTCTCAGGGGTCCTCCGGGCGGCGCCTGGCTCCCAAGGCCTCGAGCGGCCTCCGGCTCATGGTTAATCAGTCTCACTGCTGGGCTTTCTCAGACGACGAACATGGGAAAAAGGAAGAAGACAGGGCCAGGGAAACGGATACGTTAAAAATAATGAGGCTGCTTTACACGGACACAGGTTCCGGGGAGCCTGTGGACCAAGTCCATGGTTTATTTTAAAATATACTTTATTTTCCAATTCTGACTCTGTTTAATCTCTTCTGACAGAGCTAAAAAAATAAAAAACCTGATTCTAAAAATGAAAATTTATATATAGTTCAAAATTAAAAAAAGGAGAGGGGGACTTAAAATACAGGTCTAAACGGCACCCAGAACTATCGCGTTTCTCACGTACCAAACCAACCAAAAAAAACCAAACCTGTTGCCGTTGAGTCGATTCCAACTCATAGCAACCCCATAGGACAGAGTAGAACTGTTCCATGGGGTTTCCAAGGCTGTAATCTTTATGGAAGCACACCGCCACATCTTTCTGCCACCTAGCAGCTGGTGGGTTCAGACTGCCAACCTTTTGGTTAGCAGCCGAGTGCTTAACCACTGTGCCACCAGGGCTCCTTTTCTCTCACCTACAGTGAGACCGAATAAATATTTACTGAATCAATGAATAAATCGATGCCTGGAATTTACAATAACGTGCGGGGTCATGAAGTCATCATCTGGCATATTTGAAAGCTCCATCATTTTTCTTTCACTTTTTACAGCTCGATATTTTTCCTTTCCCAGATAATTTTGCGTGACATGATGATTACAACATGAACTCAAGAGTCAGCAAGACCAAGGTCGAGTCCGTGCTCTGCTTCTTAGCAGCTGAGTGAGTTTGGGTAAGCCATTTTACTTCTCTGAAACATAAATACTGATTCCCACAGGTCCTCATGCTAATTCTTGACCTACTTGTGAAGAAAGCGCTCAGCACTATGCCTGGCTCTAAGAGACCACTCAAAAATAAGAGTTATTACTGTTGGCAATCCGCCCCCGTCTTCCAGATTGTCGTACTGTGTCGGCTTGTGTGTTGCTGTGATACCAGAAGCTACACCAATGGCTTTTCAAATATGCAGGGTTACCCGTGGTGGACAGGTTTCAGTGGAGCTTCCAGACCAGACAGTCTAGCAAGAAAGGCCAGGCCATCTACTTCTGAAAATTAGCTAATGAAAACCCTAGGGAACCCAACAGAATGTTGTCTGATATAGTTCTGGAAGATGAGCCCCTTAGGTTGGAAGACACTCAAAATACACAGTGACTGAGGCAATGGACTTGAGCACGCCCATGATCCTGAAGATGGCAAAGGACCAGGAGACGCTGTCTTCTACTGTGCATGGAGTTGTCGTGACCTAGATGGCAACTGTCTTAGTTCTCTAGGGCTGCCATAACAGAAACACCACAAGTGGAAATTTATTCTCTAACAGTCTAGGAGGCTAGAAGTCCAAATTTGGGGTGCCAGCTCCAGGGGCAGGCTTTCTGTCTCTGTCGGCTCTGAGGAAGGTCCTTGTCATCAATCTTCCCCTGGTCTAGGAGCTTCTCAGCATAGGGACCCCGGGTCCAAAGGACACGCTCTGCTCCTGGTTCTTCATTCTTGGTGGTAATGAGGTCCCTCTGTCTCTCTGCTGGATTCTCCCTTTTATAGCTCAAAAGAGATTGACTCAAGATACAACTTAATCCTGTAGATTGAGTCCTGCCTCATTAACATAACTGCCTCGAATCCTGCATCATTAACAGCATAGAGGTTAGGATTTACAGCACATGGGATAATCACATCAGATCACAAAATGGTGGACAACCACACAATACTGGGAGTCATGGCCTAGCCAAGTTGACACATATTTTTTGGGGGGCACAATTCAATCCATAACATAGAGAGGACTCCTATTTCCAAACAGGATCACATTTACAGGTACAGGGGTTAGGGCTCCCACATAATTTTTTTGTGGGGACACAATTCAATCCATGATAGCAACTAACAATAATAACAACAACTGCTAATAATAATTATACTATAAGAGTATTAATAATAGCCTAGCCAGTTTTAATTTTATTGTTGTAAAAATGTAGGTAACATGACATTTGCCAATCCAACACTTCCATTTTCACTTGTATAATTCAAGTGAATTCTTTCTCTTCAGATCATGTAAATCTTTCCCCTTTTACCAGCCTTTTTTTTTTTTTTAATTGAGCTACGTGTCATCTCCTTTGAGCAGTCAAGTTTTCTAATGCATGAAGAATGATAATTTGTTTCTGTGGCTATTTCTGGATTTAGGTTAATGACTTTTGCTTCTGCCTCCAGGTCTCTGCTCAGGCATCGCTTTATCTGAGAGGCTTCCTATGACCCCCTCCCTACAATGTCTCACAGGGCATACCCACCCCCAGCACCCTGCACCCTTCCTGGAGGTCTGCATAATAACAGAGCCTGTTTGAAACTCTGAAGTGGCCGTTGCATTGGTGGTTTGCAACCAGCCATAGTAGGAGTATTTACACCACAGCCGTAGGCACGCGCTGTAAAAACAGGATGCTAAATGGGACTCTAGGGGATTCAGTTTTGGCTGAGAACTCACAAGACCCCAGCAGAGCACAGTGCTGGGCCACCTCCATGAGATGCACCAAGGAGGTGACGAGCACCCATCTGGGGGCCTTAGCTGAACACTGTCCTCAGGAGAGACAAGGGCTGACGTTTGAGTGGGAAGGGGAGAGGATTTCTTTGGGGAAGGTTGTTTGCATGAGGTGGCGTCTCTATTCCTCCCCAGGCACTTCCCTGCCTTCAGGCTGGCAAGAAACTCCAGGAAACCCCCTGGGAGCTTGGCTCGAGTCCCGAGTCCCGAGTTGGGGGAGGGGGCTCCCTACATCTGGCCCACGTCTTGAGGCGTCCCCTGCAAGGGGCTGCTGAAGGGGCCTGGGCAGCAAACAAGGGGCTGTGCTGAGTGGGAAAGGCCCCCAGCAACCACTGGGACAGCAGTGGAAGAGTTTTCCCCTGCACTGGAGGTTGGCCCTGGGGAGGGGGGCCAGCCTTGGCTGGTTTCATAGTAAGAGGGCCAAGAGGCTCCCTGCCAGGAGTGAGGGGACTCTGTGTCTTAGGGGGTCTAAGCTGGATACTCTCAAGCCATCGGAGTCCAGACCACCTACAAAGTACTCTTGTAAGAGTCGGCTTCAAATGCCTACCCCAGCCGGGAAGACAGCCTAGCCAGGTGGCACTGGGCTCTGCTGAGCGAGCCCCCTGCCCCTCAGCCGTCTGTCTCCCCACCCCTGGTACTGGAGGGGCCGAGGGGGCCTAGAAGCCGGGGCGGGGGGAGGTGGGGAGAGGGGAGAGAGGCAGAAGCAGGAAAAGCAGAGACTGAAGCACCCACCCCCTCCCCACACTGAGGCCTCGAGCCAACTGGGCTGGTGGAGGGGAGAAATGGCGCTTTTCAGTGATTTAATTATCTACCTGAGACCACCATTTGTGACTACACATGGCTGGAAGGGCTTCTGTGATCCCAGAGTGATTAGCAAGTCATGGGGCCTGTCCTGGGAAGAATCAGCTGCAGGCAGTGGTGGCAGGTAAACCAGGGCTGGGAAACCAAACCAAGCAAACCTGGCTTACAGTATGTCCAACAGTGGTATGAATACTCCCCAAAACCCCAAAACCAAACCGGTTGCCATTGAGTTAATTCTGACTCATGGTGACCCCACATGTGTCAGAATAGCACTATGCTCTATAGGGTTTTCAGTAGCCAATTTTTCAGAAGTAGATTGCTATGTCTTTCTTTCAAGGTACCTCTGGGCAGACTCAAACCTCCATAATGTTGGTGAGCCTGATCCAGTCAGTTAGCAGCCAAATGATGAACTGTTTGTACCACCCAGGGACTCCCACCAAGGCCAATTTCAAGCTACCAGAGTGATGTCACTGAGGGAAGAGTTGGGAAGAGATGTGTACAGCTGGCTTTTGTGAACAGGTGGGAGCTGGTATAAGCTGGTTCTAGCACACCTGGAGAGCAGATCAGAGGGGCGGGGGGCGGCGAGGGCAAAGAATGGGGCCTGTGATGGTCAGTTTTATGAGTCAGCTTGGCTAGGCCATCCAGAAACCAAACCCATTGCTGTCGAGTTGATTCCAACTCATAGCGATCCTATAGGACAGAGTAGAACTGCCCCATGGGGTTTCCAAGAAATGCCTGGTAGATTTTGACTGCCGACCTTTGGTTAGCAGCTGAGCTCTTAACAACTGCACCACCAGGGCTAGGCGATAGTACCCAGTTATTCAAGCAAAAAGGTTTTGCTGTGAGGGTAGTTTGTAGGTATGGTGAATACCTACAGTCAGTTGACTCTAAGTAAAGTAGATCACCCTCCATAATGTGGGTGGGCCTGATTCAATCAGTGGAAGGCCTTTAAAGCAAAAGCTGAGGTTTCTTGGAGAAGAAGAAATTCTGCCTCAAGACTACAGTGCCAACTGCTGGGTTTACCGCCTGCCAGCATGCGAGACTAATTTCAGACTCAAGACTGCGCCATCCACAACCTTTGAACTTGCCAGCTGCCAGGATCTCATAAGCCAATTCTTGGGGGGAAAAGAAAATGTCGTTTGGTGTTGAGTCGATTTCCGACTCACAGCAACCCCACATGACAGAGTAGAACTGCCTCATAGGGTTTCCTAGGTTGTAATCTTTACAGAAGGAGCACTGGTGGCTCAGTGGTTAAGCGCTCAGCTGCTAACCAAAAGGGAGAAAAATGTGACAGTCTGCTCCTTTGAAGATTACAGCCTTAGAAAATATGTGGCAGTTATACTCTGTCCTATAGGGTGGCTCTGAGTCAGAATTGACTCAACAGAGATGGGT